GATTGGACTTTCCACATAAGATTTATTTTTTTTTTTCGCAGAGTACTTTGTTATTTGATTAAAATTCTTTTTAAAAAAAAAACAAGGACAAATTGATATAATCAATAAAAGTTTTTTTAGAGATACACTATAGGACAAAAAAAAATTAGAATTAAAATTATATGATTACAGGAAAACAGTTGTGTAGAATCATATAAAATTTATGTAGTTGATAGACAAACACTAGATGATGATATTTGTTTACCATTATTTTCAATTACTAATTCATATTGTCACCTCATTGTTCTCACTAAACTAACTAATACTGAATTTGAAATTTTATTCTAATGGATTATATAAATTGATTTCTCTATTTGATATTTCAGGTAGTTGGCTAATAAATTTAGAGTTTTCTGTATATCTATTCCTCTTTCATATATTGCACTAATTCTGTTAAATTTTTTGGCATACGTTTTTCTACGTTGTAAACAGGAGAATACCAGTTCAAACATAAAGCTCTTTTGTATTACGTATATATTTGTTTCACAGGTATACTAAGATTTCTCGTTAACTTATTTTTTTGGATTCCATTATACGGCTATTATATTTGGGTACAAAGGTACAATATACTTGCAAATTGTAGATTGCTAAAAGAAAGTATTTAACATTGCTTCTGATTTACAAAATTTTACAGATCTTAGATCTGATTTAAATCAAATGAGTTGCACATGTTTAAATCATATACAATTTTCTAGTTTTTTTTGACCCATAGTGTACAGTATATAATAAATTGTAGATTAAAAACTATACATTCTCTTTAGTCATGTCTTGATACGTGAGATTGTGATTCAATAATTTTGAAGTTGGACTTTTTGTATAAGAAATTTGTTTTCTCTCACATAATACTCTATGATTTGAAGGTTTTTCTTTCTAAAAAAAAGCAAATGGCATAAACAATAAATAGTTTTTTTTTAAAGCCATGTAATAGATTACAGATTAAAAATCATACAGTCTCTTTAGCAATATTTTGATACATAAGATTGCGATTTAATAATTTCGAAATTGGACTTTCTGTATAAGAAATTGGTTTTCTCTCACATAATACTCTATGATTTGAAGGTGCTCTTTTTTAAAAAAGGCAAATTGGTATAAACAATAAATGTTTTTTTTTTAAAATCGTATAGTAGATCACAAATTAGAAATCATACATCTTCATCAGCAACGTCCTGACTTGTGAGATCCTAAGTATTTAATAGAAAATTTAATTAATGACATATTCATTAAGTAATATTATGTAGTAGATAACAAATGTAAGTTTATTGGAAAAGTGCTTAACTGATTCCTCCTTTAGAAATAGTAAGCCTTACTAAAAACTTTGTTAGGTTGTATATTTCTTTGTGGAAACTGTATAAACCCTTGTCAAATAATCTAAAAGGTAACATTGTAGAATAATAGATAGCTTCTTCGCAATATCGAAACAGCTCAGAAGCATTCACAAAAAACAACCTGAGGGTCTTTTGCGGAAGCTATATGAGTCACACATACCAAATAGCTTACAAGACAATATTGTGAAACAATGAATAGCTCCTTTACAATATCAAAACAGAATAGCTCAAGAGCACTCACAAAAACAACCTGAGGGTTTTTTGCAGAAGCCGTATAAGCCACATATACCAAATAGCTTACAAGGCAACATTGTGGAACAATAGATAGCTCCTTTGCTATATCAAAACAGAATAGTTCAGGAGCACTCACAAAAAACAATCTAAGAGTCTTTTGCAGAAGCTGTATAAGCCACACATACCAAATAGCTTACAAAGCAACATTGTAGAACAATAGATAGCTCCTTTGCAATATCGAAACAGAATAGCTCAGAAGCACTCACAAAAAACAATCTGAGGATTTTTTGCGGAAGCTGTATGAGCCACACATACCAAATAGCATACAAAGCAATATTGTGGAACAATAGATAGCTTCTTCGCAATATTAAAACAGAATAGCTCAGAAACACTCACAAAAAACAATCTGAGTATCTTTTGTGGAAGCCATATGAGACACATATACCAAATAGCTTACAAGGCAACAAGCAGAGTGATAGATAGTATCTTCACACCTTGTTCTATAAATGATGTACTCTTTCACTAAATCAGAACAAGTAGCTCAGATGCACTCACAAGGGCAACCTTGGGGAAAAAGGATTTGTTTCTACTAGAGAATATACTTACTCTAACATAATTTTTTGTTTTACGAGATTGTTTCTGGGCTCTTCTGCTTATGGTGTACTGCATCGCGTAAATTGTGTAAATAATAATAACTATGTGATAGCTTAAATTTATAGTTGTTGTTTATTTATTTTACTTATTTACCCCTACTGTCTAATTAGACAACGATCTTCCTATCACTAATTGGACAAAAGTGTTACACCATTTATCAGATTGATTATCAAATTTTCTAATGTCAAATTGACCAATA